GCTCCCGCCTGCCCAACCGCTCCTTGTGGGCGGCCTGAACCACCTCGAGCGGGACAGCTGCCAAACCCACCCGGGGCGGCGGCCCGGACCCGCGGCCCGGAAGGTGGAAGCTGCAGACCCGCCCCAGCCCGTCTTCCCTGGGACCCCGGTCACACTGCAAGGCGGCTTGCACCAGTCCAGACGCCCGGGGACACGGTCTAATGTGACCTGGCCACCTAGGGCTCCCCCGGCACCGGGTCGGCGGCTGGTAGTCTCGCTGCCATGCTTTCGTGCCCCCTTTGTTCTCCTGTAAAGTCCCTCGGACAGAAAGGGACGTGAGACCCAGCTCAGATGGCACGACATTCGAGGCAGTCCTGGGCATGCAGTCCCCCTGCCGGCCCCCATCCCCTGCTGCTGAAAAGCCACACACACTCCTTGGGTTCAGCTCCCTCCGGCTCCGCTGAGCCCCGGAGCAGCTTCGCTAACCCTCTGAGGGCAGTGACACAGTAGAAAAAGACGAGGTACCTCCGCAGTCGCTGAGGGAGAACATGGCCCATCCTGGGAAAGGAGGGTTCCCAGCCCCATCTCCGGGAATTACCCGGGGTAGGGATGCTTGTCCCAGCCACCTTTCTGTCTCCAAGGTCAACCTTGGAGGTCTAAGGGCAAGTGCGAACCGAATAGAATGAGTTCCTTCCCACTAATCCTTCCCAAGGCCCGCCTGTAAGACCTGGGCAAACACCTGAAAATACCTGAACATCAGGAAAGCAGCAGCCACCTGTCCACCCAGCCCCAGAGGGGCTGCTACATACAGGGCTCTGTCGAGGGCAACCTTGAGAACAGCGCATGGAGAAGGAAGCCACCCCCTCTGCCCCCCCACCCCCACGGTGTTCACCCCGGGAAGGCCCCAGGTGGTGGCAGAGCTGCAGGAAGAGGCCGCAGCTGCAGGCGTGATGCCCCTGGTCCCACCCCCGCCCCCAGCAGGAGGCACCTCATGCAGGAACTTCCAGCAGGACGGGTCACTTGGGAGGGCATGTGTTTACTGGGCGCGGACTCCTAAGGGAGGAAGGCATGTGGGCAGCGGCAGGAAAGGGTGAGTGGGGGGAGGGGCAGCAGGAAAGGACCAGGGGGTCGCCGGGGGTGTGGTGCCCTTGCCTGCGTCCTCCCTTTTCCCACCCTTCCCTCGATTCTTCCGCTCCCCGTCGCCCCGTAGGAGCACGTGGTAAAACAAAGTACGTGGAGAAGGAGTCACAGTGACAAGATTTTTAAGTAGAACCCCTATGTTGTCTTCAAAATGAGTTGTCTTACCTTAGCTCTCTAGCTCTCTAAGGCTGTAGCAAATGTCAAGTAGACTGGTTCTGTGTCTGGCCAGGATGAGCTTTCTCTCTTGTCCTTGACCTACTGTTTTCCTCTAGGGGATGCTCCCCCCCACCCCCAAACACACCAGCACCTCCAGCTTTCGCTCCTCAGATTTGCTCATTCTCCCTCCCCTGCATTCAAGCTCTTGGTAGGTTTCTGGCAAGTTCTGAGAGTCATGCCTTTACAGCCAGTGCAGCATCTCATTCTAAACCAACCTCCCCTGGGCTTCCTAGGGCCCTTCTGCTTCTCCCCAAAGCCAGTAGTGCCGATGGAGAACATGATCTCAGCCCCAAAGGCACCAGATGCAGACTCCATCTTCCTAGCCACTCTAGACCAGCGGTCCCCAATCTTTCTGGCACCAGGGACTGGTGGTCCTATGAGATTCTAATGGCTGATGATCTGAGGTGGAGCTGAGGCGGTGATGCCAGCGCTGGGGAGCGGCTGCAGATCCAGATGGAGCTTTGCTCACTTGCCTGCCGCCCACCTCCTGCTGTGACCCCCTTCCTGACAGGCCACAGCCCCTTACCAGTCCTTGGCCTGGGGGTTGGAGACCCCCGCTCTAAACCATCCAGAGTTGTTTCACCCACCAACGGCATCACTAGAAAGAGCGACCTACTAAAGACCAAGACGGACCTGCAGTCACACTCCTCGCTTCAGCACTCGCGAGCTGTGTGACCTTGGGGAAGTCACTTGCACTGTCAAGGCTGCTCCCTTCGTTGTAAAAGCAGTGAAGTGCTACATTGTTGCAAGGATTGTATGGGAGGCGTGGGAAAGTGCTGAGCACAGGGCCTGGTGCAGAGCAAGAGCTACTAAGTAGCTAACTTAATTACAATGAGCTATTTCCATTTGACCTTGTCTAACCTTGGCGCTGTGGCTCTGACTTTGCCACCTTCCCTCTCTGATACACACCCGCTGCCAGGACTCCGAGTTCCCCTCGAAGGTCACCCTGACTAATTCCCCACCCTCTGTGCCACCTTTCCCCTGGCTTGCCCGTTTGCTTCCTGCTCCCTGACCGCCTCCAACCCCAGTAATGAATAACCCGGGCACACCATGTCCCTGCGCGCCCGGGCTGGGCCGGGCTTTTGTGCCGTAGCAGCGGGTTGAGAGCGGAAAGCGCCTGTTTCTCCAGAGGTGGGGGGCCTCTGGCAGGTGGAGTGTGGCTGGGTGTGGCTTGGGGACGTGTGGACCACAAGAACTCAGGAGGCCGCTCAGTGCAGGCCCACTCGTCCAGGGTTCCTCTGTAGAAGCAGGAGGAAGGAATTTAAAGGCTCAAGGAGAAGAAAACGATTTTTAAATCTCTTTCTCGGCGGGCTAGGGGAGAGGGATGGGTCTGGAGAACTGTGACTCTGCCCCAGATCAGTGCTGTGGGGAGGGGGGT